CCCCCCCTCCCCCTTTTCCCCTAGTCTCACCGCCACAACCGGTGACGTGTTGGTGACAGCGCCTTTGCCCGGAGCGAGCTCTGTGAGTGAGTTGGTTTATGAATTCGAGTTTCGCGGGACGCAAAAACCACGAGCGAGTTAGTTGCCCAAACTTGTCCGAGTTCCGGAGTCCTGCTGAAGTTGCCACCTCGCCTCTACTTACGGTACTTGCGGTGCCTCGCCTCGGTGCCCTGCTGCTCTTCGACGTCGCTGTCGTTGGAGCCGAAGTCGAGGCTGATGTCCAGCTTGTCCTGGTCCAGGGCGCGGGGGCTGACGGACACTTGAGCGCCCCAGGGAAGCTTGACGTGCACGTCGTGGCGCTGAAGGTAGCGGGTCGCAGTGTCGACCAGGTCGCCGCCGTCCTCGGAGCGCGCCGTCGACTCTGCCGATTCTTCGTAAGAGTTCCTCACCACCGAAACAGAGTCCGTCACCTGCACGGACGGTCATAAATTATTAGTTTCTGTTTTTCTTTAGCATGACAACCTCACCTGAAAGTGTCGTAGCCATGTTCAAGTACCCACCTGGAACGAGTCCTTGCGCAGCACGTGGTCCAGGACGCTGAGCACGCGGTACTTGACGCACGCCACGGCGTCGTCGCTGGCGCAGCCGGCCTGCAACTCGGACACCACGGCGTCCATCGGGGTGCCCTTCCAGAAGGCGTTGCCCTTGACGGGGGACTCTTGGACGCTCGTGGCGGGGAGGCCGTGGGCGACCCCGACGGCCACCAGGACGGCGACGATGGCGAAGAACCTCATGGTGAGCGGGGTGCGTGTGAGGGACAGGTGAGTGAGGACCAGAGTGACCTGTCGCACTGCCAACCGGCGTTTTATACTCCGCACGAGTGGCGGCGTGCGGGGGGCTGGCGGGGACGCCGCCGGGCCCCTCCCCGCCGAGCGTCCGCGGGAGCTCCCGCGGCGTCCGCGACCCTGCCGTCCACGGGCCTGGAGGAGTGGAGGGGCGGCCGGGACGAGCCTGGAGGGGAAGCAGCCGCCGGTAGGCGGGGATCACCCTATCGGCGCGCCACCCGAGGAGGCGAGCGAGGAGCCACAGGACGCCACACCGCGCCCGGGCGGCCCGCACATGCTTCAATAATCACAAACGTTAACTGATTTTGACAATGCGCCGGAAAACAAAAATCTGACATGTGGCTCCTTCAGTCAGTATGATGGCTCATCAATCGGGCATAAACTTATACGTATGGGACATCCCGTGTCCTGCGTATACAAAACTCGCACGCAAATTCGGATGATGAAAACAACCAAACTTATTTTTTTTCAATCAGAATTCAGTTACACTCCTTGAGAGAGGAGAGCCAAGGTTATACTGTACCGACAGCCGTCCGCACGTCTGTGCGGTACAGTATAACCAGAAAACAAGTTCGGCGTAGAAGGCCCACCCTGTATCTGTATGCCCAAATAGAACCAAATAGTATCCATATTCTCAGCTTCCTAAAATGTGAAAACCGAAAATTGTTTTGTGTCATTCGTTAGGACAGTCAATCAGACCCCAGAAGACATGATCTTAATCAGGTCCAGGCTAGTAATATTTTTGTAAACTGCTGGAAGACCGAGGTCAATGGTGAAATGGTAAGGATTATAATTCGATTGATCCGTGACGGGTCATTGACAGTGCCGTTGGGTCGGTATGACGGGCAGTGGGCCGGCGCCGGGGCGTGGCCGCCCGTGCCATGTGGTGCTAGACCGCCACCCGCTTGGTATGCGGCGCGCGCGTGCCGGCGGTGCGGGCGGAGCCCGAGGCGGAGCCCCCCGGGCCGGGACCAACGGCGAGCATCCTCGGGGGGCGGCGCGGGGCGGAGGGGACCGGGCCGCTAACGCTAGCCGGACTTCGTTACCCCTCCCACTCCCCTCCTCCCCCTCACGGTCACGCGGGGCGTCCTTGACTTGGCACAGGACGACGGCGCCCAGGAAGTGCAGCGCAAAAAGCGCGCGAGCCAGAAAGGAAAAGGGAAGCGACCATTTGGGGACAACATTCTTCTGCTTGGCTTATTGTGGCTTGGCTGAGGCGGGGCGCAGTGGGGAAGGGTG